AAGACATAAATCAAAAGATATTTAGTATAGAATTGAAATGGGAGTATTCTGATTGAAGTCTTTCTTGATCGGGTCCCCAGGTAGTAAAAACATAACATAAACTGCTATAATTGTAATAGCAAAAGAGCCTCACTGTTGACGGTCAATATAAGATCTTCTAAAAGTTGAATGATGGTAGGAATATTGTCCGTAATTTACTAATAAATCATCAGAACATTGCACGTTTGTGCCAGACTGGTTCCTCAACTGTTTATGGAGACTAAATTATGTGCATCAATGAAATTCCTCAATTTAAGTGGGACTTATCCAACTTTATTTCTATTGCAAAGATGAAACGTAACGCTGTTCTAGACACTTTGACGTTATCATCCCTGCGCCATAATATGAAATTTCATAATTTGTATATTTATGCATATATCTATTTGAAATTTGCTTTGTTTATTAAGAAAATATGTTCTAAATAGTAGTGAAAATTTCAGAACGCAGTGAAGATTATTTTTCACGCTAGACAACTTGTCCACAATTTTACAGGACAACCCTCGTATATAGGCGTCGATACATGTGTTACAAATTGATACGGGGGAGGGTTAAGATAATAAGCCCAAATTTTTAGTGCCTATACACGTATTATGTATATTTTTTTAAAGCAAGAAAATTCTACGTACGAGGGCTGTTCAATAAATAATGTCCTCGGTGCTCTGAAAGAAGCAAAAGACGCTTTTCAATGAATTAGTCTTTATGATTTAACTTATCAATCTCTTTTAATTAAAACGCATGTCCGTTACATTTTTTATCCAATTTCTGATTGTTTCTTGAACTCATTTTTGGGTATGATCCTTAGTATACTGGAAAATAGCAGATCCAATGATTTCCTAGACATGTTTCTTCCTTCTGAAAAGGTGTATTTTTCATGTTTGGAAATAGAAACAAGTCAAAAGATCAAAGATCTGTCAAATAATATAAATGTGAAAAAACATTAACTTTCTTTTTATCCCGAAAACCCCTTTACTCTTCAGGGCGTGCGGGTTTAGACGCTGTCATGAAGAAATTAATGTAGCGGATTCCAGATTCTGGGTCTTACTCTAATAAACCTTTTGATTTTTTTGCAAAAAAATTTGTTTTTTAGACTCCTCCAGAAATTAAACTGTCTCCCCAAATACTAATTTGAACATGAATACCACTAATATTTAAGAAAATTGCATATAAATCTGTCTTTGTGCTCTTGCAATTCTTTGCTCTTCTCAGACCTTCGCTGTTTTTATCAAGTAAATTGTATCGTAAATTTCGTTTTGAGGATTTTAAGCAATAGATTCAAGTTCCATCCTCAGTTTGTATATCAAGCAAACGTGGATAACTATAATTACTGATATTTAAAAGTAATTGTGAAGACATTCGTACACGCTGTTGTTTTCACTCATTTTTTTTTCAAAATATAGTGTGACCTTTGAGTACTAAGCTTTTTTACCGTCAAACGTTTCTTAAAAACAGTGTAAAATACTCCCGAAATAATGTCTATCAAATTTGCTATGTGTCTTAAAGTTAATCATGCATCATCAAATATTATTTGTAGAAAAATTGGCAAACAGCATATAAGTTGATATGATTTTTGTTGGCAAGGACGGTACCCTTTTTTGATACCCATTATATAATTATTTATCATTGAAATTCACCTGATAATTTGTCTATAAAACAGGCATTGGTTTTCTGCTAATGTCACATATTTCAGTGAATATTTCTTTGGGATTTTAACAAGTTTTACAGCAGCTTTAATGAAGCTTTTATTTTCACTCCAGTTTACTGATTCTTTGCCATTCATTTATAATGAAATGTCTCGAATAGCCCTTGTTTTCCAGCTTCTCTTATTGAAACTATGTGATGAAAAGTGATCACATCTACTATTTTACATTCATAAAAGATTCAATAATGAGAGAACGTCAAGCTTAATGTCATATGACATCTATATAGTATGTAATACAATTCAGGACATTATTTATTGAACAGCCTTTAATTGTAAAAAAATTTTCATACTGTGGAAAATTAAAACTGCTATATTTTCTTATGGAAAATTAAATGTTTAAATCGAACACATATACCCCTCCCTACTTACATCTACCAAACGAATTACAGACTAGAAAATAATTTTTAAAAGAAACGAAATTATGCTATCAATCAATCATGATAATTTCTCCATTATTTCTGAAAGACCAATTTTTCCTTTCATAACATTTACGGTAACCTAAAATATTTATAATGTCTATATTTCAAATGCTGAAGTGACTTCAAAGTGCGTTTATATGATAGGTATGAACGCACTCTGGAAAGAAATTTATTTTTTTAAAAAGTGCGTTAACGTGGTCCAAATTTAACGCACTTTGAAAAATAATTCAAAGTGCGTTCTACCAAACCTCAATGATAAAAATTGTTGATGTACAGTCTTAACGCACTTTGAAAAAAAAATCAAAGCGTGTTTATTTTGTTCCAAATTTAACGCACTTGTGTGTTGTCTTTAATTTGTACCAATTTTAACGTACTTTGAATTTTTTTTTCAAAGTTAGCTGGTATTTTTTTCAAAGTGGTTTGCAACAGACGCTAAACAAGTGTTATAATAATTAATTTGAAAATAAGAATAATTTAAAAATCTTTCTCTCTATTTAAGATTGTTTTGGTCATGCTCAATACTAGATGTTATTCAAGGATAATATGATCATAAGTAAAAATGTTTGAACTATTTTGGGTTGATTTCTTTTATGTATCGTTGCTTTGTTGTACATATACATTGTAATCTTATCTATTTTAAATCAAGACTCGAAAAACAATTTCAGACCAGTAGAATTTACTTGATATATGAAATCTGTATTTGAAATGCATATATTAAACAACTAAGTGTCTTTCTCTTTCAGCGATGGAGGGTTCATTTTGGTTGAAGTTGATTGCTTCCTGTGTATTTCTCAATTCTTCACATTCAATTTGTAAGTATTGTTTTTTAATCCAACTGTGACATGATAAATGGTGTTGCAGGGAAGCATGTAGACAATGTGAAACCTAAATAACCAGAAATCTGTACTTGTTATACACTTACACACCTTACGGCTAACTTTCTTCTCTGAAAATGAATACTTGAGATCGTATTTAGTTATGAAACTGCGCATACCTCGCTGATCTCAGGTTGTTTTCTGAGCTTAACATTTCTTTTTATGTTTCATAACACTTCAATGGCATATCTTGAATCTTGAGCTTGTTGCATAATGTTAACATTTATTTAAACCGCATGAAATCTAGAACGATTTTATATCTTACAAAAAGACATCTTAACTTTATGCATTTCAAACATGTTTGAAGATATAATCATTTTTTCTTTTTCATAAGCGTCTAGAAATGATATTATTTTTGCCACGAAAAAAAACTAGATTTTACATTTATCAAAAAAAAAAAAAAAAAAAAAAAATTATGGAAAGCATCTTTTTTTTGCAGTTTTTGTATCTTTATATGTACAAAAAATGTATTTCAAATCTTATGGTAAATCTTATCAAATCTTATCTTAAGAGAAGTTTCCAAATAAATCTTTTATTATTAAGACCTGGTATAAATATTTTTCAGCTTTACGAAGAAAGTTTTTGATTCTCGTTTACTTACATAAAACACTTGATTTAAATTGTTCAATACAGAATCAAAAATAAATTGTCAAAGATGCTTTATTTTATACCTTGAAGAAAGAATATTTAAAGATTCTAATTTCAATGCTAATAAATTAATTGTAAGATGCATATCAAGATAATAATCTGGATTCGAGACAGGTTGGGGAATCAAGAGCCCCTGATTTCCTATCCTTTAATTGTTGAAGATATCATTTATCATAAGAACAGCAGCTGTTATTTACTTGATATTTCCTTTCTGTATCCCCGACAATTTATTTATTTTTGTGTTTGTAATTGCTTCATCTTAGCTATAGCTTAGCTATAAAGATACGGTTGAAGTCGGTAACGGCTGATTAGAAATATTTACAAACCTGCAAGTAGTCAAGAGATAAGCCAAGCGTGTGATTACAACATCGAGACGATAAAAGAATATATATCTACATCTAAACGTCTTATTATACAATTTTTTCTGGGTAGCACAAGATCAAATTTTAAAACATTTATATATCCTTTCAGAAATAAGTGGAAGTTTATTTGCAATTCAAGTAACGACTTCGAATTCATTATTATAAAATTAAACTTGTCAAAAGATTAGCCTTTAAATACTGTAAACATAGCAGTGAGAACACCAGAGTACAGTTAAAGGTTGTGAAACGGAGGTGTAAGTCTAAAGAATTGGTTAAAAAGAGAGTAAAACTTACTAATCTTTGTAATCGAAACATGATAAATTAGACACTTTACCAATGTAAAAAATATTGTTTAATACACATGTATCAGATACGGAACTGGTAACTACTTCTGTTAATTAAACAAGGTCTTATCAAGGTTCGTATTAATAAATCAGCCAATTTTTAGCTGGTAAATGACCCTTAGTCCTAGATGAATTGTTTAGTCTATGAAAAACACAACGAAGTTACAAAGAAAGAGAAATAACTGTTTTGCAAACCCAACATGTAAGTAATATTGTTTTTGTGTCAATATAAATTTAATGCCAAAAAATGTGGAAAACATACATGAAAAAGATGATTGATATCTTATCAATAGACTTGTTTATAAACATTAAAATAATCTGCATTAATATACCTTTTTTAAAACTTTTTTTCAGCTGATTCTGAAGGTAAGTCCGTTCTGAACTTGAGCTCTTTAAAACTTTTTTAAACTTGACTTATTGAGCAAGGATTTCAAAACTTTTATTTCTTGACTTTTACAAAAGAAGTTGTTTTTTTTTTTATTTACATCTTGTTATTATTTTTGTTGTGGAATATGTATAGCAAATAATTATCTTTTTGCATTAAGAAGAAGGGTGTGTGAACAAGAAAAATGACAAAAACATTCTTTTTACCCAACAGAAGGATTTCCCTTTGACTTAGGTTGCAGTGAGCCTATGGATATAGTGCTTTTACTTGATACAACTCTAAACAATTCAACACAAAATGAAGAGTTCAAAACGTTTTTATTAGATTTAGTCGAAGATTTTCAAATTGACTGTGGAACTCCTAGGGTAGCCTTCGTGTCATTTAGTTCCAGTCCAGTCCTACATTTTAGACTTGATAAATACTCTTCTAAAGCGGACATGAAGTCGGCCATAAAATCTGCAATTTTTACGCCAGGAGAAAGAAACTTTGCAGATGCGTTCCATTTGCTTCACAGGCAGGTATTCTTTGCGCCTTATGGCGATAGACCGGATGCACCAAATGTTATCCTTTTGATAACAACAGGAAATTCCGAGAGAAAAAAATATGAAGCATCACAACAAATACAGTTTTTAAAAGACCAAAACAGCATACTGGTCGTATCGAAAGGGGTCAAGGACATGACGGAAATTCACTCTTTTGCCAGCGACCCTCATTTGGAGAATACATATGAACTAACACAATCGGAGAACATTAGTTTAATCAAAGACCTAGCGTATGTTGGAATTTGCTCATGTGAGTTTTGCTTATATAGTCAGTAATTTTTAACATTTTTATCAAAGTGTTTAATCAAGCTATGTTTTTACAAGGGATGTTTTCTATATCCCTTTTTTTATTTTCTGAACTTACAGTGACAATGATCTTGTTTCTATTTATAGTAACTACTACTTATAATTATGATAATGAGGATATGGAAGGGTCTGCAGTAACGGCCACAGGTATATTTTGAAAGAAAAATAATGAAGGCATGTCCCCAAGTGCTGATTTTAGCTAGATTTCCTTTAAACCTTTGTAGATTATTCCTATTTTTCCTTTGCTTTCCCATATGTGTTTGACCTCTTTCCTAATTTCCCAGCTGATGTTTGCAATTATAGAAATCCAATCTGCATGTTTTGGATGATTTTCAGGAACCCATCTGGCGTTTCTTTCTCCGTAGAAGGTTAGTTCCAAACCGTTCTAATTATGTACCTTTTTATACATCTTTAAAAATGCACTGTTATTTTAGGAAATATTCATTAGAATTATATTTACAATAAAGCGGTGATTAACAATTTCCGAAATAGCTATTTATACTAAAAATCCGTCTCATTTATCTTCTAATTAAACCCGTATTATTGCATGTGTTTAGAATTTTAAAAAATGCGTTGGGAAAAATAAACAAACCTCGATACCATTAATATATATCAATGTCAGTTTATGAATTTGATAGTTCACTTACAAAGTTGATATCTACACTTTTATAACATTGAGTCATAGACTTCATGATTAATAGTTGCATTTATTCTCCTGGTGAGGAACTGAATTTGTAAATTTTGAAAATTATTACTTTTTATATTTGTTTTCTATCCTAATGATGAAAGACGGAGATATGATTTATCATACATTTATACGAAAAAAATATACGAATAAATTAAATTTATATCCCATTTTAGGAAGTAATAAAACGGATTTAACTCTGCTTCTCCATTACTCTGACACCACAGCTGAGAGTGATTTCAATTTAATGGTACAGTTATTGCAAAATCTGATATCTAATGCAGACGTTAATGATGATGACGTCAGAGTAGCTTTCCTTGTTTACGGAATGGGAACAACCACCATATTTGATTTTAATGATTACAGACAAAACAAGAAAAAGCTTTTGAATGCACTGAATATAGATTTTAGCAGCTGTGGTTCTAAAGAAGCGAATTTAGCTGGTGCTATAGATGTCGTTCGCACGCGAATTTTTCTGGAAGCTTCAGGTGATCGCTTGGATGTTCCAAATACGCTTGTGGTAATCACGAACGATAACTCTGATAGCAAATATGTCCTGTATTTCCCCAAAGTTTAGCTGAAATGAAGAACACCGGAGTTACAATGATTGGCGTGGGCTTGAATCTCTGCAATAAGGATGAAGTGAATGCGCTCTCTGATTCTCATACCTTTAGTTTCATTTTGAACGATGCTTCTCAGCTCGCTGTTGTCTTGCAAGAAATCCAAAATAGACTTCCTCCACGTGCGTCATTTAATTTCTTTGGCTTTTCCATTCCTTTTTGTGCAATCTTCATTTGAATCTTGTTAAGATTGTCTCATTTCAATGTGATGTTCAATTTCAATACCTCTCCTGTCTTTGATAAAATGTCATTTTATTAACTGTATCAATTCGTTAGAACTTTTTCCTTTTTAGTGAATAAAATTGTTAGCACGAAACCAAGCATCGTTTATGAATGTAAGCAAGGCGAAGGTAAAATAAATGACGTTTCTTTGTTTACGTTAATAAAGGTTCGTGGGTAATTTTCTTTTTCTTACCTTCCAGAATCAACACCTGACATACAAATTACAAACGGCATTGATAGTAAGTATGAAAGAAGAGGATGAGGAATTTGCCTGTAGATGTTTGACATAAATATCTAACAAGGCATTGTAACGGAGAGGAAACATACCATTTTGTTTTTTTATGAAATGAAATTCAGATAAGTTTATATTTTATTATGCGAATTTCTCATTCATGTCCAGTTCCCTTAATCAATTCGATATTGTCGACATTGCAATGTAAACAATGTTGATACGATATCGTGAATACATCGTCTACATTGTTATTGTTTCTACATAACATAACAACATCGTCAACGTCGACATCACAATGTTAACAATGTTGATACGATGTCGTGTTTACATCGTCTACATTGTAATTGTTTCTACATGACGACATCGTCAACGTCGACATAACAATGTAAACAATGTTGATACCATATCGTGTTTACGTCGTCTACATTGTCATTGTTTCTACATGATAAACGTCGACATCGCAATGTAAACAATGTCGATACGATATCGCGTTTACATCGTCTACATTGTTATAATTTCTACACGACGACAGCGTCGACGTCGACATCGCAATGTAAATAATGTTGATACGATATTGCGTTAACATTGTCTACATTGCTTTTATTTCTACATTGTATATTGACAACGCCATGTCATTAATTTTAAAACTATTTTGCATGTACTGTACAGATGACAAACACTGTTTCC